CTCCATTCTTAACTATGGGTCATTCTTAAACTGGGCGTTCTTAACCCAGAACTACCTGTACAGTATCTTATTCCTAACTGACCATTCCAGCTCTACTTCACTTCATGCTCACGCTGGGTTCTCCTACAGTATTTATTTCAAAGAGGGTTGTATACTCTCCAGTGGATGGTGCCGAGGAGCATCACTGATTGAAGCAGATTTGGTACAGTATGTTTTCCAATCTTCTCAACCCAGAGCCCTCCAGATATGCCTCCCTGACTCACATAATTCCCAGTCAGAAAGGCCAGGGTATCATGACCTAACATGTCTGGGGGCATTAGGTAGAAGAAGTGTCCCATACATTTTTTTTTACAAGCTAAGCATCACATAGGCTTTTTGAGAGATTATGCAGATCATTTTTAAAATCAAACTTTTCTTATTCTTGCTAATGAGAAGAAAGCAAGCCTAGAGGCTTGTGTCATGCCCTGTTAATTATTACTAGTCAAAAGGAGGTGTACCTTTTGAGCTCTCTGACCTTTCTGCAGTTCTGGAGGGTTTATTATAGTCAGCACAACCTTGGCTGATGTTTGGATTATGTGTTGAAAAGCAGCCAAATTGGCTGTCATTCAGAATTTGGTGATAGGCTCAATTTCTGCCAATCTCATGGAACTCAAACTTCTGCTTCTCAAGAGGCATTCAGGGGTCCTCTGGACTTAGCATGACACAAGGTTCTGCATTGGCTAACACATGTCAAGACTGGGAATCCATTGATTTCTTACACCTTTCCCCAACTCGTTGCTCTCTAAATATGCTGCATTACAGCTGTCACAGTCCCCAGCCAGATTCTTGCTGAGTATTCAGGGGCTTGAACTCCATTACACATGGAGTTAATAGTACCAAGGTTGGGAAGGCAAAAATAATAACATCATGTCAAAGCTTTGTATTTGGCCTCCAAACCCCTTCCAAAATTTGCAGCCAATTGTAAATACAGCTAGAGTAGACATGTGAACTGTATTTGATTACCATTTAATTTAACTGAGTTAAAATTAAATTATATCAAAATTAGGTTTTGTCCTGTTCCCTACTTTTAGGATGTAGCTTACCAAAGACTAAAGGCTGCCTTTAGTAAAAAGAAGTTGTGCAGCCTGCCATAGGACTGCAAAAGTGCAGACAATTTAGAATCCGTGTTGACAACTGAGATTTCTTTAACTATACTAGCAGTTCCTTGCCCTTGCTCCTGGATGCCCATTTGACTCTGAGGTAGAGCAAGGCACATTTCACCTCCTGGACCTCCAAAAACCTAGATCATCTTCCCCACTTCTGGGGTGATTTAAAGAAGCACAATAAATACCTTTAGCCACCTGTGTTGCCTTTACCCAAATCCCAAGAAATGTGTTGACCTACCCATTCAGGGGCACGAATGTGTCGCTGGCCGATATGTCAAGAAAGAGCAATCCCAAAGCAGCCCCAGGAGTTTTGTCCACCTCTGTTCAGGACTTTTGGGCACACATAAGTCTGTGGAGTCCTTGGTGTACTCTAAGCTCGGTTGTTTTCTTGCAGACGTTTCGTTATCTGACTAGGTAACATTTTCAGTGCAAGTGTCTGCAAGAAAACAACCAGACTCAGAGAACACCAAAGACTCCACAGTTCAACCCTGAGCTACATATATTCTCTTTTATTGGTGAGACATGAGACTTTCCCAATACAGTGGTACCTCGGGTTACGAACTTAATTCGTTCCGTGACTCTGGTCGCAGCCCGAA